TTTCACATGCAATTTAGGACAACAGGTTTAGAGGTGTGGAACAGCTGTCTGGCATCTAAATTGTCACGCAATCAGGTGAGAAAGAAAGACAAGGACAAATGTTGTCAAGATCCAAACAAGTTAATAGCATTGAGTCATATCATATTGCAATTGTAGATATTATGTTACACCTCGGGGCATCCATTATAGCATTAGAGACACTTACAGCAACCAAAATCACGTACACGTATGACTTAATAGGCTTTCTTTTACAGGGAGATCCAAGCAAAACGCTGAAACGCTATCTTATTTGCACGGTATTTTATTGCCTGGCATTTTGAAATGTAAAAACACTATCCACACAAACATTTTTTTTCCCGTTTTTACAGTTTATAATGACACTTAATTTTTTTCGATGGCCACATTGCAGGTCTTTGGAAAAAAAAAAAAAAAAAAAAAAAACCTACTTGCCAACGCTGCGCCTTTGTATTAAATCTAAATTAGTAATTTTTTTCTTTGTATTTTATTTGTTAAGTCTACAGAACATATTTCATGAATTATAGACTCGCCTATGATCTGTGTATCATTTCCCAGACATTTTTGAAGCTACAGGTCATTTTAATTTCCTTAATGGATTGCTTACTGCTGCTGCGATAATAGAGAAAATGAAATTTGGATATTACAGAGACGACACTGATCTAATTAACTAATTTCCTGAGTGCGCTCCCATTAGCGTTAGTCAAGTATTAATGCTGTTCAGGCGTTACACCGCACTCAACCTTTCGTAACGCCATATTTTTGTCCTTACATCCTTATTCAAATTGCTTAATACAAAGTGTTTTCTGTGTTTTTGACTTAAGCACCGCCGCCAAGCAAGATGTGGCAATTGACTTGTTCTCCAATCAATGGCTGTTCAATTTCAGTGCATCATCGAAGATGGAATTGATCTTTGGTTCAGAAAAAAAAATGAACGCAAACTGCAGTATCTAAACGCTGATCGGATATTATACAGGAAAAGCGCCTTGTGTTTCTAACCTATGATTCAACATAACGTCTATATGGAAATGAAAGTGTTGTTTTCATTTCTCTCCTGGGTAAATGGTATTTTAATCAATGTATCGTGTGTTTTTTCTCTTGATTCCTAATCCTGGTGTAATAAGTATTGATGTCTCAAAGTCTCCATATAACAATATTAAGTATAGTCTAAGGTTATGTCATTCAAACAAGACCCTGACATTATATATATCAACAGTGAATGAAGATCAAAAATAATCCGTGGAAGTAAACACGAGCTTTGTGTTAATAGAATTGAAAACTTTATTGCGTCTGTCTGTTTTAGTAATGATCAACCGGCATTGCGACAGAGAAGCTTGTAGCAATGCCTTCTCCTCTGTTGACGCAACACTTGTAACGTGCCCGCAGCGATCGATCGCAGAGAAAATTTACGACATTATCGAAAATTCCGGTCACTTCATCAGTCAATTTGACATGCCGAATACGCTTGGTCGGCCATAGAGGGTGGATTTTTCAGCGAGACCATTAATTGGACGTCCACAAGACGCTCTCTTCCCGGAAATTAACCGCCGCGGAGTGTTGTCCGACGATAAACGCCGGTATTAGTATGAAAAACCGCAGGCGTGTGGTACTCGAGGAAGAGTAAGGTTAATCAAAACGAAACTGTCACGAGGTGAAGAGCGTATCTTTTCTGGATCCCAGCATAGCCCTTTTAAAGAGGTGAGTGCCTAAATATCCCATCTGGTGCTAGATTAATTAGTTCTTAAGATAGGATATTCTTGTAGTTTGCAGATGGCGGTTAATGTTAGCGTCAATGTCATTCTATACATTGTTGTGAACCGTCCAAATTGACTTTCATCTTAATTGATAATTGAACTCTCGTGAATTAATTTTCATCAACAAAATAACTAATCTAAGGGCTCCAAAATGACCCCAGATCCGAGTCAGTTTTCCTTTTCGCGTACACAGAGAAGCATAACAGAACAACCTCACATCTTCACTGGTTCTTTATCCCGTCATCTACAGGGAATTTATATACTTGCCGCAATGGCTCCAATGGATTTACATCCTAATTGTTGTGCAATGCTTACAGGCTAGAGTTTCTGAAACTTATTAGATTTTAGCATCCATCTGTGTCAGGTATACCTTCACAGCGAATGCTAATTATTTGTGCAAAACATACCTATAAAAATGATGATAAATATTAATGCGAAACAGAAGCAAATAAGATGACACTTAATTGAATGAGGGTAGGAATCTACATTACGTCACTTACTTTATATCAGTTAATATCACTTTGTATTGTACATTTCCTTCATAAAGTCCTTAAAATTCTACTGCTCTGTTGAGATCTTTTTGATTGTATAAAATATACATTAAGACAGAATATTTATAGTTAATAGCTTCTGCTTATCTATTTCGCTGACACAACTTGGTTTGTCAAATTTTGGTTATTACTAATTTCACGAAGGTTTGTGAATTGAAATTCAGTCCCTTAAGTTGATTACAAAGTTGCCATATTGGGCAAACTATAGAAAATGCCGTTGTCGCAAAAACTGTTCGAATAATACGGCGGAGAAAGAGGGCTATCAAAAAGCAATTCTATTAATCATGTCTGAGTAAAAGAATCAATACAGGATGGTCTTCCCTGAGATACTTGATAGACATGGATGCTTTTTCCTCATTAATTTACAACCCCAAGAGATTAAACAACGAATCCAGTTTTAACGGAAATTGCTTGTTGTGATCAACACTTTAAGTCATATATGTTGATAAATGTTACGGCACCATGTTAGTGAGGACGGATTGCATCATTTGATATACCTAGCACGGGCCCAGACCGTCATTTGATATACCTAGCACGGGCCCAGACCGTCATTTTAACAGAGCACCGTGAGAAGATGAGATTGTAGTTTAATGTCGTTCTTATTGCTTTTTTAATGTCAACACTTTTTGGTCTTAATCGTAGGAAATGATGATAATGAATCAGTTTAACATAAAATCGATTTAAACAAAATGAAACGTATATTAAAAGAATTAATTTTTGCCAAGACAGTTCCTTCTCGAGCGCACGTACGTGCCTCAATCATTTCGTTTTTTAATTTTTTTAAACATCTTCACTGTGGCTATATTATAATCGCAACCCGCACAGCAAAAAAAGACACATTATTTTATTAAGAAGGTATACTTTAAAATTAACGTTTCCTTCACTCAGAGCAGTAATGACCTAATGGACCTTCGCTTGGAGGGATTTTCACTTCACACGCAGAAAGAAACATAACATATAACCTCACATCTTCAATTGCAAATCTCTTTACTGTGCATAGTATTCACATTTTATTCACTTTATTAAGTAAAATCCATATGCGAGCCACACTGGCTTCAAATGATTTACGTACATATTGTAGTGCAACATTAACAGGGGTGGGTTTCCACTTATCACATCTAGATTATACAACTATGTCAGGCAAAAAAAAAAAAGTATGTAACAAAATATTTTCATAGACAGGAGAAAATTGATGTTGACAAAATATAATTACACATATAGAATTGAGGGAGGTTTCTACACGCTTCCCCTACTAATATAATATTTTTCATCTCTTTAAATCCATCATGAAAAAACGAAAAGTCATGATATGGTACATACAATATATTACATTTTCTGTTCAACGCATCTAAATAGTAATGTCGTAAATTTTATCTAGGTCTGTGATCCTTATTCTTTATGCATAAATCTTACGAATAAAATTTACTTGGGAATAAAATCGTAATAATTATTCGGGTTAGATACACACACACAAAATAATAATAATAATAATAATAATAATAATAATAATAATAATAATAATAATAATAATGTCTCAGGTAACGAGCAGATCTATTGAAGAATAACAAATAATATTTCATCTTATTTCTGTATCCACACATATTTAGGCCTTATCAGGAAAAATATTTTCTCTACAATTTTTTTCTGTAAATTTACTCCGGCCCTGCGACTTTTCCATCTGAAAATAAAGGGAAAAAATAATAATAACATATACCAAATCACAAAAGTAATCAATGTCTCAATGTTTCTTGATTAGGGTGGCTAGCTGCTAAACCTCTAAGGTTAATTAAATTTGTTAGAATCGGTATAATGCTATCGGTAGAATAACCTTATCGTATTTTTAAATGAAATATATATAAAAAAAAATTCTGCAATCTCTTATCATTTTTATAAAGGCATCATTACACCGAGCTTAAACTAAAGTCGTGTTACTTAATTTCTCGGTTGCAGATCAGTTTTTGCTCCTTTCTTGTTGATAGTTTACAAAGCAAAAAGAAATAATAAATACACAGAAGATGAATTTAGCGTAGGGTCTCCGCGTTTTCATTATGTATACTTTAAACATTAAAAAGGTCAAATTACCCTGCTCCACTGATACAAAAAAAAAAAAAAAAAAAAAAAAAAAAAAACTTTTTCTTCTTCTTCTTTTACAATCACGCATTTACAAATATGGCAGAGCAAATATACCCTACTTTAGATACGATGTTTCTATTATTCTGTTACTGAAGTGGTTGTTATGGACATTTATCACGCAGTTGTATCAGATGAAGTATTAAAGCAATATTAATGTGACAAAAAATGGAATAAATGTTTTAAGACATGAAAAGTATATTAACGTCTCGCCAGACGGTTATCCAGTTATCTATCTGTTCCTTATACAGAAATCTACATATATATGAAAAACATGTTCCATTTATTATATTACTTTTAGAACATACCGAAATTCATTCATTTTATTCATCATAGGGTTCTTAGAGTTCAAAAACTGTAAGCTTGAACAAGATTTGTTTGTTATAAATGTGTGCATGGTATTGGGGACTTTGCTCCATATGCATGTATAGATTGAAATGCATTTGCATTCTACTTCAAGTGGAAAAAGGAAATGCAGCTTAGACGAACGCACGACAAGTAAACTATATCAAGAAAGAGCAAAGCGGTTGACTGCTGACGTCATTTAAACATGGGCTGTATGGGTGACACATCATGGGGATGGATAATCCTCGTATTTGCTGTTGCCATGAGAACGACCATACACGGTATGCTGACGTCATACGGAGAGTTTCTTGCTACGTTCAGCAACGTGTTTCAGGAACCAAACATGGCTTTCTTTGGTAGGTAAAGAGTTTTTTATGTCTTTTATATATCATTTAAAAATGATACTCTTCAGAGCTGATGCTCAGGCTCATAAAAAATAACGGAGCCGGCGATTAGGGTTATCTTTACAAATAGCATGGAGCCTGAATAATCTTGCCTATCATATAACCCATTAAGCCTTGAATGCAATTTTTTTTGTCCAGATATATGTTGATAAATAAGTAGTCTACAAAATTGAAGAACACGACATGATTATTTGCATTTTGGTAGGTCACTTTGACCCCATTTCCACAGATTTTAGATCGATCTATCCCCGTGGGGAGTCTCACTAGATTACTGTCAGCTTAGCCGGCTTAAGCGTCTGTCCCGCCTACTAGAAGCTGTAAGGGGGTAATTAACTATGGTGCGCGCTCGACTGACAGCAATTTAGCGTGAACCCCCAGGGAGTTAGGTCGATCTCTGGGAATGCAGTCTATGTCTTAACTGTCTGCTCAGCCGCCCGATTGACAAAATAATGATGTTCTCTCCGTGTGTGTATGTTCTATCTTCTCTCTCAGACATATTTTTTTAATACAATGACACATGGCCAATCTTATTTCTCGTCCGGCGATCATCGGTTTCTTTTTTCTTTCTTTCTTTTTTTGTATGTTTTCTGTTCATTCGGTGTGTTGGTTAATTCGTGGGTTTTGTACTCAATGTCGGCGATCGAGCTCAAAGATCCCCAGTTAGTGTTAGTAAACACCTAATCCGTTTACAATGCCTGCTCATTTGCAGACATATTTATTCTGATTTCTTCTTTATCATGTTACGTGACCAATCTTTTTTCTCGTCCAGGGATCATCGGTTCCACGGCGTACGGTATCATCAGTATAGGGACCCCCATAGCTCTGGCGCTCACCCGATGGATAGGTGCCCGGCGAACAGTCTTCATTGGTGTCTTCCTGTTGTCGCTAGGTGTCGCCCTTTCGGGGGTCGTGGATCAACCCTTGGAGCTGTTCTTCACATACGGGCTCCTGGGAGGATGTGGAGCCCTGCTTACCAACAACCCGCCGTTCTTCCTGCTGTCTCAGTACTTTCACCGTGACCATAAGTATTATATTCTGACGTCCAGCCTCCCAATGGTCTCATTTTGTTTGGGTCAGTTATATAATATTGTTCAGCAAAATAATAATAATAATAATAATAAACACTTTCAAACAATTGTTTTTTTCTTTTGAATCCCGTAGAGTTCAAATAAGGGACAGCCACACTGTAAAGCAATATTCCTTTTGTACATAAGATGGCGAAAGTTTTGAGGCAGATATGCTGCTACGTTAAGATTTTAGTCTAAAACGTCTGTCAGTAAATCATTTTTTTTATTGCTATTATTTTTGAACGTCTTCTTACAAAACGTCAGCCTCAGAAGGTAGATAAAATGAAATTGGCGTTATTTATAAAATAACTTATCCGTTACATGTTATTTTCAGGTTCACTTATATTCAACCCCATTATTCAAGCTATGATAACATCCATCGGTTGGAAATGTACTTTTGCCGTCTACGCCACGTTGATTTTCACCGTCGGCTGCACTGCTGCTGCCACCTTTCGGGAAAACGAGGACCAAGACGAAAATGACAAGACAAGCTTAATCAAAGACGAACCAGATTCAATGAAACCTTCTAAATGGCTATTTGTTTTCAGCGCAAGTGTATATGTTATAACCATGTTTACCCGTTCAATGGCCTTATTTACTCCTGTCTTTATTATGGTAAGAAAATAAATAAATTTTATCTTATTTTTGAAATATAATTTATTACAGCGAATACATCAACAGTTCAATGTTAAATTCAAGAAATGGTTAAATACAATAAATATATTTGCATTAAATCTATGAATAATTTCAAAATGTTGAAATTAATTCCTTACCAATCAATAAATTGGATTACGATATTTTTTACCAGGTTAAACATCTTGAAACGCTAGGCGTAGCGAAGATGACAGCGGCGGCCACAGTTACCATATATTCCTCCGCCGATCTCTGCGGACGCTTGTTTACATCATTTTTAGGAGACAGACTATTTAAAAAGAGAGTGATGTACCTCAATATCGCCTGCTGTCTGCTTCTCGGTCTGGAGAATTTCGCTGCAGGGTTTGCTACGTTATATTACCAGCTGGTGATCTTCTGTGTTGGTAAGTTCAGCACGTGCACACGGTTCTGAGCCGGACGGCAATATTAGGTAGTACACTTAGCATTTCAGTGTTATTCACTTTTGAGAGATTTGAGTTTTCTTGAATATTAATTGAGCTTTTCCTTATTATACGTAACTTGGTAAAAGTACTTTCATCAGTTGTGAGGACTTCATCGATAGCAGACAAGGCTAACAAATAACATTTTTTTAGCTTTGTACGATCAATGATTTATTTTTAAGATTTATTTTCAATATCTTTTTTGCACAACGATAACATTGTTTACAATAACAAATATGTTATTATGCTCAAAACTCAATCTAAAGTTTCAGATATTTATCACAGACTCATAGTCATACATAAAGTAAACCAATAAATGTATTTTATTACTCATAATAAGATAATTTTAATAAAGAAGGAAGGAAAAGGTTTTAACGAAATGATTCCAAAACGTATATATCACGCCCGTCAAAAAAGGTACGTTTGATAACTTGTTTCAGCGTCTTAAGTGGTACCGTGTATTTCAGTGGCTGGTTTTACGGCAGGCGCCATGACGGCCGTCCTGTTCACCTCCTCCAGTGAGGTATTGGACGGATGGTTCACCCAGGAGTTGTTTGCTGTCAGCAGGGTTGGTTCTGGCCTCGGGATTATAGTCGGCATCGGGATGACGGGTAAGATATTTTGAGTCATATTTCCTCAGGATTAACACTTCTGGGGGGGGGGGGGGGGTTATTCCCTTTTTGGCACAATCTATGCTAAAATAATACTGAGGCACATTGATCATACATGGTGGTAAATACCCGTGTATCCCGTCACAACTTATAGTGACGTCATGTTATTAGTTGCGTTACTATACGTTTCTTACCTCTCTCTTACGCTTACTCAGGATTATAATTTTAATTATTTATTATTTATTTCTTTAAAAATGTATCACTATAGAGGCGCCTCAGTGTTATTTAGGCCACATAAAACGATTTAGACGTTACGAAACGGTTTGAAATTGCAAGTGTATTGATATGTATGTATCTCTCTTAAAAATAATGTAGTAGTCACCCAACGAATGCACAGCAGTAACCGATTCCTTTGGATAGCTTATAAAATTATGAGAATCAACTCTGTTAGCTAAGACTAAACATATTTTTGTTCGCCTCCTCCCAGGCGTCATCTACGACCTCTCAGGCTCCTACCACTATGTCTTCCATATCAACCTCGGAGTGTTTGCCTTCGCCGCCCTTTGCTTCGGAGCAGTGGTGCTAATACGGAACTGCATTTTACGGAAACAGCCGAACGAAGATTCGGAAGAACTGCCACTGACGAGACCTGTGCAATGATCCTCTTTTTATATATCTAGGATCAGTGACAGTGGGAAGTCAGGGCCGTAGCCTGAGCAAAATGCCAGGGGGGTAGTAAGCGGACACAAGGGTGCAAAGCCCCCGAGGGGGGAGGCTGTGTTCCCCTCCCACGGTGTGGAAAATTTTTAAAAACTGTATGTATAATACTGCATTCTGGTGCATTTTAACTGTTATTTATTGCTCAATCAGAAGTCAGAAATGTGGGCTCATTTTGCCATAAGTACAGTCATTTTTTCAACACAACACGCCAATGGAACTTTTTGGCATGAACTGAGTTGGCTAAAAACAGTACACCTTTGTAAACAGATTGTTGAATGATTGTCTAGTGGCCATGAGTGCATTTTCTCACAGAATTGATACCAACAGTGCAATTATTTTTTTACCTTTGTGATTTTTTTTGCACCTCAAATCCCAGGGGTGGGGAGGCAGTTGCCCCCCCCCCTGCCCCCCCTGGAGGCTACGGCCCTGGAAGTTATTCTAATCTAATACAAGTAGTATTTAATGAGACGTATTTCGATTGCACATATCTACCAGAAGTAGGTGTTAGTTTTGCGCAATTTAGTAACTGAATTTTAATATTGTGCTTTCTCTGGTTTCAGTTAGTTATTGAGTGCCGATAACTAATGAAAACTCCCCGTCACTACTTAATAATATTTACCTTTGGTAAATACACGTATTGACCTTATTTCATTTGAAAACTGTTTACGTCCTGTTCATGCCACTCAGCACTAGAACGAAAATAGTATATTTTGTCATGTGGGGAATATATACATGTAGTAAAATTTCGAGAACTACAACCTTTTCTTAAATGGGAAAAGTTATAAGACATATCAAATAAAGAAAGTCTGAATGGTTTTTGACGCCCGCGTAGATTATCCGCATCCCCGCACAATTCGTCTGTTGGGTCAAAGGTCAGTCTATAGATCAATACGTTAACTGTGTCACAAACTGATACCTCAGGGCAGCCTGTATTACAGGTAAACTGATTTATTTGACGAGACTGATAAAGCCTACTTAGCTGGCTAGGTGGAGGGCGTTTTGTTCATGTATGTATAGGCCAACAATAACCGGCAGGCTGTAGTTTAGTCAGGTTTAGACAATAGCAGCAGCTAAAGTCGTCGTGCGTACGCAAATCTCGTGCGCTCAACGAGACTGCTGTAGAAGTTGATGGAATTTGGACTAATCCTACGACTTTCTGCTGACATCATCTTGCCTAGGTTCATCCATTCTTGGCTCACTGATGACGTAGACAGTCTACATCGTTGAACATTGGAATCAAGGTAAACCCGTGCTAGTAGCATTAAGCTCCTATTTCAGCTGTTCCTTTAAGAAATTCCTCGGCGTGAGCAGCATGTCGTTGATCAAAGCTCTCCCATTTATGACATACACTGTCCTCCACGGCAGTTTAGCGTACAAACAACAGATCATCATCTTCAGTGGACAGAACTATTCCCCCGCCATCGCTATCCCCTTCCTCATGGTGGCCTGCGGGGGGCTGTTGGACAACGTAAGACTTGCCATGGGAGCTCTACGCGGCCCCGCGGGAGCTTCGTTGCAATTGGCTGATTTGTGTTTCTTCCTCCATTACGTCATCGTGCCCTTGACCTTCACCAGTCTGGCGTATATCGCAGTCGGCATGTTGCAGGGTTATGATTGGTTGATGACAGGGAGCTATCTTCTGACGGCGGCGTTTGTGGTTCATGGACTTGTTACCTATCACGGAAAAGTGGCGGGAAATTATGCCTTGTCCTTAGAAGGTGGGATTGCGAAATGGACAGTGGACAGGAGCAAGGTCAAGGTCAGTTATAGGTTTGGGTCAAGGTCGGAGATATATTAAAAGCACATTTGAAACAAGCGTGGATTCCCAGTAACTAAGAAAAAAAAAAACTCCTACTGGTTAATTTCTTTTGCGACTCTAGTCGACTTACCAATTAATTGTTTCCCAATTATCCAATGTCGATCCTCTTATTATTTTTCCATTTTTTTCAAATCCAGGTGACCTTTGACATGATTCTTCCCGTCATGCTGATTGGTTTATTTGGAGTGATTGTTGGCGCTATTGGCTGGTGGCAGAGGGGGTGGGCGTGGCTGTTCTTCTTGCAGCTCGCTGGTTTTCTGGGTCAAGCAATGGTACCGAGCATGAAAGCCGGCGGCATGTACCTTTCTAACTTCCTGGAGGTGGTTTTCCTGGCAAGCATGATGGCCACTCAAATATAACAAGACTGACGATCTTCAATTTGCCTTCAAAATAGCCCTGGGTTAAATGAATTTAAGTTTGTCTCACTTAGAACATGACATTCCCAAAAATAATCAGAGTCCAAAGTGAATTACCTTAGGTATTAAAAGAAACGTATCAAGGGAATATGAACCCTGTTTCTACCAAGGTGACATTGCCTAGATATTTATTGATGTTTGCTTTCAGGAAACACGCTATGCTCTTCCTGCGTCCACATTTAATGCGTGACATTTATTTTATAAGAACAAATAAGTCAGTATATCTTAAAATAAATTTTAATATTGAACAATAAACAGATCAGGTATGTAGATTACATTGCAAAGTAAATATAATTGTTTCTATTTAACATCAAGATATACGTCAACTGTTTATATACAAATAATATAATGTAGCACTAAATGTTGTTGTGCAGTAGTTTTCTAAAGAGGTATTTCATAGGAATAATGCAGACGGCATAATTTGGGCGATTTCTGAGTACAGACCATCCGTCATGGGTAGAAATATTCATATGTCACATATTGTTTTAGCCATAAGGCTTTAACAACCTTAAAATGGAATGTAAGTGTTAGGCAAACTTAAGTCCTATGAACCACCTCTTTAGATGCACACGTAGAAGATATTCTTTATTTACAAATTAATTTATTTACATATTGGGAACTGTTATGAAGAGAGATTGTTTGTTTTTATTTTCATTTTTTTACGTAGACGTCATGCGTTAAAAGCTTTACAACCTATCTTGTTGTCATGCCAACAGATATTTCACGTGTCCTTCAAATTATTCTGTCGTATCTGTATCAGTGAATTCAGTTTCATTTCTGGACAAAATCGTTCTTGCTTGAAACTTTAGCCAACTATGGTAAACTTATTGTGTTTTTGCGCCAGGAACATCAAGTAATTCATCATGTGACATAAATGCCATCCTTGGTTGACCAAATTATTTGACTGGCTATGTCAGCACTGTCACTTATGGTTTATCTTGGAATATTTGGCATCTATTCTTCTGATTGGCTTATATGTGGTTGGGACTGCGCGTCGCCGCCTGCGTTTTTGGCCTGAAAAGAAAGAAAATTTTTCTCAATAAAAAAGATTAAAGTATTTTCAAAACGATCCGTCATATTGTTGAACTACGTTATCGTAAAGAACATTTTTAATGTGAAACTTACAAGTTTGTTCGTCAGATCCGTCTGTGCAGTCTGCGACGCCATCACAAACCCAGTCGCTGTATACGCATGCGCCGGTGCTGTACACGTTTTCTCCGCTTCTACACAGGAAGTCGCATTCTGTAGCTAATAACAGAAGAAAAGAAATCTCGTGACATGTATGCTTGACGCTTACGACAGTGTTTTAATCTAAAACGCCAATGTTACGCAGTTATACTTGAATTTTTTTCTCAACGCAGGAAACATTTCATTTGATTTAATCTTTGGTCGAGTTTTAATCCAGTCTGTAAATCTCTCATCTTTGCCACGTTTACCTCCCTCCTTGTCCTCTTTCTTTGCAATCCTTCCCGAATCTCTTTCTCTCTGCAATTGACTGCTGTGTTATCAACACGCACACCAACTCATACACACACGTTCTCTCTTTCCCACTTTCGGTGTGTATCTGCATCCTCTCTCTCTCTCTTTCTCTCTCTCTCTCTCTCTCTCTCTCTCTCTCTCTGTATGTCTGTATCGGCCCTTGTATCTGTATGTCTGTATCGGCCCTTGTATCTCCCTCCCTCTCTCGTCTCTCTCCCTCCCTCTATTTTCTTCCTCTCTCGCTCCTTCTTTTCTCTTTCTCCCTATCTCAATCTTTCTTTGTCTCACTCTCAAGCGCACTCCAATACTCACTGCAGCCTGACTCGTCCGAGCCATCTCGGCAGTCCGGGGTATTGGGAGCGTCACACGCCCAGGCGAGGGGGATACACTGCTGTCCGTCCTGGCAGGCGAACTGGCCCTCAATACACGTGAACCCCTCTGGAGAGGAGAACATATCAGGTTGAGAGAAATGATAGGCGTAAACCTTATCGATATTGAATGTTACACCTGGGATTTTAAACATCGTAAGAACTTATAACAGAGAGTTTAAGGGTGCATTCCCAGAGATTTAGATCGATCCAGATACTTAGATTTAGATCGACCTAACTCCCTGGGGGTTCACGCTAAATTGCAGTCAGCCGAGCGCGCACCATAGTTAATTACTCCCTTACACTGTTACAGCTTTTAGTAGGCGGGACAGACGCTTAAGCCGGCTAAGCTGACAGTAATCTATTGAGACTACCCACAGTGATAGATCTATCTAAAATTTGTGGGAATGGGGTCTAAGTCCCTCTAGCAAATGAGCAATTTAAGGTCAGCCAAACTGGTGCGATACAGAGAACTGTACTGCTCAATGTGAAAAGGGGTGAAAAGAATAGTTGTTAAAGGAAATCGACATCTTAGGGCACTATCGGTCTACGTAGAACGATTCTGCTCTGCAGGAACCGTCGCTGAATGCAATCAGGTTACCTGATTGCTAGTAATTATACAAGTACATTGGAAACAGTAGAAGGCGTGTTAATCTGTGTAACTGGTTGCATTCAGCGAGATGTGCATATGAAGATATAAATATACAGCACTGTCACAGAGAAAAGAAAGACAAGAACTCACCGCAATTCCTCTCATCAGCGACATTGTTGCAGTCAATGCTGCTGTCGCACCTGTCGACCAAGCTGACACACTGGCCGTCTCCGCAGTCAAATTGGTCTTCACGACACTGAGCTAGAACAGTGACAACATCGTGACATAACGGTGACGGCGTACAGCGAGAGGTAGGACTTAATTTAGCACATAACATTATTCTCCTCCTGAAGATATGACTATTTTTCTGTACACATCAAAGCATCACCCATAAAAAACTGCCTAGTTTAAAATAGGAGGTAAAAGCTAAGGAATATGTAGGGAGCGGAATCTCTTGTTACATATTTCATGATATGAGTAATAAATACAGTAAGAAATTGCTGTATAATAACATTAAGTTAGTTAATACATAAATTCATGTAAATACGTGGAACTACGGTTTCAGTTGGTAACTATCCCTGATCTAAGTAATCAGTGCAGTAAAAAATAACGATATATATAAGTTAATAAACGTACTTAGGTTGTGTGTCTGTGGCGGTGGCGGTACACACACCGCGCTGTCCGTGGATTCTGGGAACATGGAACAGTCGATGTCCCACCGGAAGTCGGCAAACCCTAGCTGCTGCTGACACCCAGCGGTCGTGGCTGAAGTTAGTTGATGGAATTTTAGCAAGTTTGACATAGGCAAATCTATTCTCTATATCTACGCTGTCGTAAATTTTTTTCAAACTTATTAACATTTTCTTCAAAAATAGACCCTACATTTCTTGGACGCTTACCTTCACACAAACTGCGACACGGAGGCCTCCTCTGTTCACCGTCACAAGATGGCGCCAGTGCAGCGCACCCAAATGTCATCAACGAGTCGTGACATCTATAGATGGAATGAACCGCTGACAGCACACTGACGTAATACTCCGCCTCCGCCTGCAAGACACGAGCATTATTACTTTGAAGGAATTGAAAAATAACAAAATGCGTAGATAAATGTTTTAACAATCAATTAAAATACGAGCAATTTAGACGCACATATCTGAACTGGCCACCAATAATTAATGTAAGAACTTGAGTTTATCTATGAATGCTTTAACTGTAACCAAACCTGAGAAGATTTTTTTAAAGAATTAAAAACTTTCATTTTCAAAAAGTTAAATGACTGATTTGACTGACTTTTATATCTTAAAACTGTACTATATATTTTAATTGCAAACCTTTATTATTTGACTTAATTCATCTTATTCATTTTACCAATGTCAAATCTAGTGAACATTTTATATGGATTTTAGACCATTGATAAAACTTTATCATAATTATTAACATAGGTTTGGAGAATATGTACGTCAGGTGTCAGTACTACTCTACCTGTGTCTGTTGATCCAGATAATTTGGGAACGCTGTGATGTTGTAACCCATGTCCTTACAAGCCTCTATAGTTAGGGGTTCACATCGAGGCTGCTCAGGGGTCCCTGGAATAATAATAATAATAATAATAATAATAATAATAATAATAATAACGTATTGTAATGATAGAAAGGTAAAACTGTATTATAAGTATCCCTGAGAAGAATTTATTGAAAGGTAGTTCATTTCAACATCTCCACTTTGATCACAATAAAACATCTTTCTGGATAGAACAACAGTCAAATTATTCTCTGTGCACGCAAAAGACGGCAATATAAAGGGATCGTTTGAAGTCATTATGTGCTGCACAGTTAGTCACCTCAGGAGTGAAATATGAAGTAAAAGGCAAAAGTTTTCAATAACTATTGCACCGTGTCACAGGAATCGCTATGGTGTTGCTAAATTAAAGCCATTCTACAGTAATATAAGACGTCCAGGTTACCTGCCTTGTTAACTATGTACGCACACACTTTAAGCGCAGTGAATATTTCTACAAATATAAGCTACACTGGCATGGACTATGGTACGCGGTACACTGGTTTGCGATATCTTCACCTTGTCTGTCAGTTCTCACGCACTTCCTCAGAAGATTTTCTTTCAAAACTTTGGCTAATGAGTGAATTTTTACAGTAGTTAATCTAATAATTTCTAGTCAACTCAATCGTTATATTAAATGTGTAATCAGTGTAACACATGGGGGACTACAGCATACCTGGGAGGGCAGTCGGTGTCACAGTGGTTGGCGGTATCATATCCCCGTACAGGCACTCTAGTCCCCTGCCGTACACTGGAAGTGCCTCACAGTCCAGTTGTTTGCCGAACTCTGGAAGAGCTCTAAAGATGGCGGGGCAATTGCTCTTAAAATCTGAAAGAAAAATCAAAAATATATGTTGATTGTGAACTATATTAATCCTGTTTTAAATACTGCAAACATATCGATACAATTTAGCAAGTAACAGAATTTTAAGAAATTTCATCAACAGATTACTCTCTATCTCAAAAGAAGCAATGCCGGTAGACAGCTTTCAGTTATATGCATCACTAAATAAATAAATAAATAAATAAATAAATAAATAAATAAATAAATAAATAAATAAATAAATAAAATAAATAAATAAATAACGAATAAAGAAAAATGAAAGAGTAAATTTATAAATGAAGATATGGCGAGTGACAATCAGGCAGATCCAATGATATGCGAAGAAACTGAGAAGGTATCAGAACAAGCAGTGAGATATTTTAAAATATTAAAAAAAATACTGTAACTGTAAAGTGCCCACCTACCTTCGCATACATGCTTGCAAACCGGGACTGGAAAATTGTTACTGTCACACTTAGGTAGCATAGCCACGCAGGAAGCAAACAGCGACCCCTGGTAGCACGTGGAGTTCACGTGACTCATGAATGACGGCCAGTCAGCATTCGCCATCAGTTCTCGTTGCTTGTCTGTCGTCACGGACGTTGTTTTGTACGGAATGACATCGGAGCACTCCGGGATTATTATGTTGTTTGTACAGTTAGGGGCGGCAACCACAGTTTCTTTCTCGGCTAGAATAAAATAAAAATATAAAACCACAAGAAAATAAACAACCTCAAAATGTGTGACTACGAGAAACTGCAGGTGGTCAAACAATTCGAGGCATGTTTCTGAAATCATTTAACATAACCACTTGTCTTTTAAAGAAAAAAAATCTACTCAGAATGGTAACTTCATTATACATAAACCCTGTGACAGAATAAACAATTACAGTCAACATTTAAGAAATGTGATCTGATATATTTCAAAGAAACGGAAGTGTTCAACTGATACTCAGTGCGGACCTAAGGGAGACCGGAGTGGACAGGTGCTCCTCCCTCACTTTCTGAGGTAGCACGCACCCCCCACTCCCCTCCTTCCATACTGCCAAAGTGTAAACAATCGAAACACGATATTGTCTTTCAATTTGCTCATTCTGTGACCTAATTGTTATGGAAACTTGCCCCCATCTATTGCTTTTCGATGTGCTCCCACCCCCATAAACAAAACCCTGGAACCGCTTGTACCCACTATAAACTGTAGGTACTAATGACGACACTCACGACAGTTTATTTCGTCCGTGCCGTCTGCGCAGTGTTTGGTGTCGTCACACACGAGTTTCCTGGGGATGCAAGGGCTGCTGGGATACGCAATGCCCAGACCTCCCAGGAGGCACTTGAAATGATCCACTGGACACGTGACTGGAAAATACGAAGTGGGAGATCAAAATGTGGAACGAGACATATTAAACTTTGTGTAGATAAAAGAATAAATCATCACAGGTCTATGTCTATGGTCGCAAATAAATACCCACTTTTAAATAGGGTGTTCATGAACATAGTGATGTAACAGGGTCTGACACCGACACCACTGGCACTTTCAAGAAGAAAAACAATCACCAATATGTTAAGCAAAACAGTCATGTGCATGATTTTTCATTAACATAATGATACACGCAACTGATCCGCTAGTGGGGTGTCTCTGTCTGACAAATGTACTGAATGACGACACTTTTAGAAAGTTTTGTTTTAAAATAAATGCACATGTAATCATATACATGTAGTTCAAATCTGAACAGATATCTAATTACTCTGTCGTTGTTCATGAAGTTTTGCAAAGGCCCGACTATACATTGTCGCAGTCAGAAAACCGAAGAGCAGGAAAGACTGCAGCGAAATAATTCAAGAATGCGTTGGTTGAGAACGGTTCTCCCACAGAATTGCGTTCTTTGTTGGAACTTACCGTTGTGTGGAACGCAGCCAAGTTCATCCGACCTATCACCGCAGTCGTTGTATTTGTCGCACGTCCAGTCTTTGTTAATACACTTCCCATTCATACAGCGGAATTGGTAAGAGTTACAGGTATCATTGCAGTTCTGCTCGTCGCTTCTGTCAGGACAGTCGGCCTCGAGATCACACTGGAATATGATTGGGCGACAGCTCACTCCATCTGCGCATGCGAACTGGCCCTCGACACACTGGAAGTTTTCTGAAAACATCATTTATATTCGTAAGTGAAAATTATCAAACACAAGCCGAAAAACTTTCATACCTTTGGCTTACAGCCAACCTGGATGTAGGCCTTCATAAGACTAAATGTGAGATGTTGTTCCCACGAACCCGTGCATACCCCCGATGACACCAGTAGGTCTATCAATGCTTATACTTTGAGTTTTTGAATTAAAATTCCTGTAATCGTCTGGGACGAGATCCGGAAGATAAAAACGCACGTTCGGACTTACGTACAATCGAGCGTGATAACATGATCCCGGACTTTTTCCACTTAAGTATGGTCGTGGACGGTTACAGTGTTTTTTTTTTTGCCTCAAGTCATTCATTTTTCTGTGATGTCAGTCACATGTCAATCACTAGTATTATGGCAAACTCCATCTGCACGTTTTGTCAGTTAGAGCGATCTACATACATCTGTCTATACGAACAATATTCCTACTTACCGCAGTTTTCCTCGTCTTTGTCCCCCAGACAGTTGGGGAAGCCGTCACACCGATGGTGCATGGGAATACACTCCGTGGCACTGCACTGGAACTTCTCTGGGGGGCAAACTTCAACACAAACACAACAGACATAATAAGGTGGGGACCATTAATATTTACTGACACGATAATGGCATCTATTAACTAAAGTTTGATAAAATGTCTATTTACGAACTACTAATCTATTTTGCCTGATAATTTCTGATTGTTTGTCCACGTTGTTCAAAGACAATTTACGTAAATAAAGAAACAAACGAAAATAAACAAAATAAGATAAAAATAAACAAACAAATTATCATGAAATAAATTATTTTCTTCATTTCTTTTAAATTCATCCTTCAATATATTTCTATTCACGGCGATTAGTCACTTACTCCCAATCGCCCCCAACCATCCCCCTCCCTATCCCCACCCCCACTCGTACCACCCCCACCCCCAGGACATTCACTCACCTGCATCTTCTCCCGGCACCTGATAGTGAGTGAAACAGATCTCAGAGTCGTTACTGTGAGGAAAGGTGTTACAGTCAAAGGGCAGCTGGACGTTCAAATAACTCAGGTAATACTGGCAGGAAGAGATAGCGTCTGGATAAGAGAAAAGACAAGTCCTTTATGCACCCTGCGTTAAACCTGATTTTCATGCACTTCTGTAATTAATTCTAACCCATTATTTCAATGTACGTAAGTGACTTACTCTAATGCTAACCATTAATTAATTCAATATGAATGAATATATAGTAATTTACTTAATTTGATCCTATTTTGTTAAAGTACTAATACTGTAAACATAACCTTTCACTAACATTTTCAAAATCTGTTTAAAACCCAAAAGGTTGTTATCATTATTATTATTATTATTATTATTATTATTATTATTATTACTAAAGCATGAAACCATGTAATCAAGTCGTACGACAGTAGTAAATAAATCAATGTTAATTAAGGGATTAACCATCAATGTGTTTAAAACAGTTTCGGTGACATTTCCTTGTTGTTTTCTCAAAATATACCAATGGTAAAATATACCAAAATACTGAGAATCAATTTTTATCGGCAAAAACCATTGGAATTTAGCGGTACAGAGTGTTAAGATTCGGAAAATTAAGATCAAATTTTGCTTTCTCGGAGAAAAGCGAGGTTTACAAAAGGAAAATCCGTCAAATATGAATCTGTACGGGAAAACCGTACACAGGGCACCTAAAGTTTCTGCTCACCTGCGCACATCTGTCTGCACGGCGGTACACGGGCACCTGTTGTATTACACCGTGGAGTTAGCACAGCGCACGCAAACTCCTTGAAGTGACTGTAACATTTGAAGTTGGCAGCAATTTGGGAGAACAGGTTCAGCGTCTCTGTGGCCTGCGTCTGGAAATAAACATTACGTTTAATTCGTGATAATAAATGAATAATGTACTGAAGGTTCATTAATTCATTAATATAATTAGAATGTCAGGTTCTTTTGATAATTGCCATCCTTCTCTCTCTCTCTCTCTCTCTCTCTCTCTCGCTCCAGTTCTTGTCTCCCTTTCGTATATAACTGCCGTTCAAACAAGCCGCCTTCAACACTGTGTGTGAACAGCAGCGTGTAGGCCTACAAAAAATAAGTCAAAAGTCTATCCCATGAGACACGCAGCGGTCAACTGTAAGCCCACTTCATATGGACTGAAAGTGAATAGGCTGCCGACAAAACGATCCATCAATCTACGATCATGTGGACTCTTTTCCCCCCTCCCACCCCCCAGACAAACATTATGCC